TGTGACCCCCCCCCCCCCGGCTGTAGCTCCATCCCTCGGAGCGCCTAGACCACACGTAGTACAGAGAGCCGGGCGGAGGAGCGGAGAGCGGGTCCTGCAGGCAGCCAGGTGTTGTCCCCGCTCGGCGCTCCTCCTCCGCCAAGGCTCTTTGCGCTAATTACCTGCGTCCTGTGAACTCACAGCTCAGGGAGCCGCACCAGCCAATCACCGGGGTGTACGTCTCGGGTCCCCCGGGGAGCCGCCTCCTGCCCGGATCCCGTCACAGGAAAACGCTCACACACAACCGAGCAGCTTGCCACAGCCAGCAAGGCCGACTCCAGGCAAAACAAGGAGCCCTCATCAGCGTAGAGGGGACACCCACCGCGACGTCCGGTAGGCCTCTGCCTGACGTCAGCGTAGCCAGTGACGTCACCCCCATGGTGACGTGCTGCTAGAGAAGGGCGGGAATAAGTTCCTCTTCCGCTTAAGGGGGAGTAGTGCTGTGAGGAAGAAGCGGGCTCCCCTCTCTTAAATTAATATTGGTACAGTCCCAGGTACAGCTGTTGTAGCCGCGGCGTGTTTTGAGGAGGGAGAGTCTATTTTGCAGAAACGGGGGATATTATTGGCGCGCATTCTGTGTAGTCAGGATGACATCATACCTACATCACGCTGCGGGAATAGCAGCTGCAGTGCCTATTAGTCTTCGTGCAGCTTAACCCTTGTGTGTCCGCAGCAGGCGGTGTGAAGACCTTGGAGCACGTCCTTCCATTCACACAGTGCTTTTACCAGATCCCCACACATACACTTCCATCGTTATTGGGATGACGGAGATCATTCTGTATGACAAAATCCTCATTCCAGAAATGTCCTTCCCTGTGCAAGGATGTTGTCACCAAGTTCTCTCCTGAAAATGCCACATGCCTGGCTGTCTTCCTGAGGAGTCCTGAGTTAATTTGCTGCATTCTTGTCTCAGGAAGTCAGAGGATCAGCATAACAGCCAGGAGGAAGCGCAGCCTGCGGCCTTCTCTCTGCACGAGCTTTCATTCAGCGTGTAGGCCGTGACTGCTCAGCCTCTATGCTGTGTCAGTGTGTAGGCCGTGGCAGCTCAGCCTCTATGCTGTGTCAGTGTGTAGGCTGTGACAGCTGCTAGTCGGCCCCACTGGCTGTCAAAATACCTGAACACTCAGCCTCTATGCTGTGTCAGTGTGTAGGCCGTGGTAGCTCAGCCTCTATGCTGTGTCAGTGTGTACTCCATGGCAGCTCAGCCTCTATGCTGTATCAGTGTGTATACCGTGACAGCTCAGCCTCAATGCTGTGTCAGTGTGTAGGCCGTGACAGCTCGGCCTCAATGCTGTGTCAGTGTGTAGGCCGTGGCACCTCAGCCTCTATGCTGTGTCAGTGTGTAGCCCGTGGCAGCTCAGCCTCTATGCTGTGTCAGTGTGTAGGCC